TCTTTGTGCGAACGTATATGCCACACACTCGCTACATTCAGCCTTCTAAATTCCGTTGCAAGACATAGGCCTTCCCCATTCTGCGCCACCTTCCTGGGTATGGTTTGCTTCATAGGGAGGAAAAAAGGCCGTACCCTACCACGCTAGTCTAGTGCGGGTTGGTAGGGATCTTTACAGTCACGTGTGTATGGACTTGTATCTAAATCATGTCTTTGTATTTACGTATCTATATGCTGGCGTCTTTTATCTGTATATCCTCCTGGCGGGTATTATTATTATTATTATTATTTTTTTTTTTTTGCGTATAACTATTTTGTTTTTGCTATTGAGCCTCCTCAACGTACAATCAATAGCAAGGTTATGAATGAGCCTTTCTAGGTGATTTTTAAAAGGCTTATCAACACACGACGTACTATGGTTGTCTTCTTAATTACCTGCAATAAGAATTTAAGCCTAACCATAAAAGGGAACACGTTTTTTGCCATCACGCTTGTTATCAGCAACAAAAGGGATATTTTGACCACGTACTGCGGATTGTATTATACATCCGCATCAGTGAATTGATTATGCGTCCTACAGAGGTGGGGGCGGGGGGGGAGGGGTGTAATTGGAAGGAACGAGGGAGACACTCAATTATGCCACCATATTTCACGGTCAAGAATGGGTCTTCTCACATGCATAAGCTATAAATAACCTATATAATTGGATCCCGTTTCAGCTGATGGAAGCGTATTTCGGTTACACAGAAGTCCATCATAATGGTCTGGCACATCATATCAGAATTTGCGAGTCATGGCTAGCTTTTCGTCCTTCAACAGATTAATAGGATTTTCTGCTTCACTGAATTCCTGATGGGTTAATCGCGCCCTCGGTGATGCTTGGACTCGATCCGGTTTCCGTTGTAAAAACTGGTCGTTTCTTAACAGCTGAGGGCAACAAAAACGCCAAGCCAGCATCACCCTAATAACATTATTATTGTTATATCATTATCATTACCATATTAGTATTATTTTCATTAGTATCAACAGTACATTTATGATTATTATACTCATTGTTCTCATTACTATTATTATGGTCATTATTACTATTAGGCAACCATAACCCTGCAAAAACGCCCAACTTCTGACAGGTCGTTTCACATCAAGTTTAAGATCTGAAGGCCTTTTAATCTCGGTCCCTTTGAAATCGGAGAGAAAAAAAAGCCAGATAATTTCAACAAAAAGCCGAGGAGAAGTAGACAAAACACTGCATCTTCTTCTTCTTCTTCCTTGTCTTAATCCCTAGTAAGGTCAGCCATTCAAACACGCTGCCGGCAACATGGCCTGTCCCTGGCCGCAACTGGGTCAAACTTTGGCAACGTATCATCCATTAGCGTGAATCTGGAATTTTACAGTTGCATGAAAGGAGTGAAGCTGGAATCTTATTGCATGAAAGGAATGAAGTTGGAATCTTACAGTTGTATGAGAGGAATGAAGTTGGAATTTTGGAGGAGTGAAACTGGAATTTTACAGTTGCACTGGAATTTTTACAGTTGCATGAGAGGAAGAAGAAGATGCTCTTGCTGTCCCCACCCCGAGCCAAACCCCACCGCATCTCAACACCCACAAGTGATCGAAGAGCTGCACGTACGGCGCGCCCTTGGGCCAGCCGAGCGAGCCGTCGTTGAAGAGCAGGTGCTGGCGGGCCGAGCGGAAGGTGCACGCCCCCACGCTGTCGAGGCGCTGGATCTCGTAGGTGCCCACGTAGGCGAAGTCCGAGTCCTCGAGAGCCTGTGCCCTCAGCTCCTTGTAAGATTTGGCCAGCGTGTCCGGGTGGGGCGCGATGAGGGAGTTGAAGTACTGGATGAAGTTCTGGTTCTGGTTGGGTAAGAGGGGAGGGGGGGGGGTGAGTTCATTTGGTGCAGTATCTTTATTGCATAGGGCGTATTTCCCTGCCCTGCAAAAAAGGGAAAAAAGAAAAACAAAAGGAAAAGAAAAAGTTACCGATTTCTTTAATCCAACATTTTATTTCATAAAATGATATTAAAGGAATGACACATACTTTCATGAACTACGTATGATTTATGAAAAAAAAATCATAAAAGAAGTTTCTTTCATAAAACTATATAAATTAAATAGCTCATATCTTCATTAATTCCAAATGATTTTTGAAGAAAAGTAGTTAATCGAAATACCATTAAAACAAAATATTAGAAATGCAGTATATGAGAAAAGCAGAAAATCCAATACATTTCTTTAAAAAAGAAGAAAAAAGAGAAAAAGATGAAGAAAAAAAAACTTGGCTTCCCACCTTGAAGAACTCCTCAAGAACCGACCCCTTCTGGATCCCGAGCCGGTGCTTGCCGATCCGCTGAATATCAGCCAGGGAATCGAAGGGGAGGTCGTCGCCCTGCACCGTCAGGAAGGAGACGAGAGTGGCCGAGTACGCCGCCACGACGACCACCCCGACCATGTACGCAATCCAGAACACCGCCCGGAGGTTGCTCACTTCAGGAGATATGGTCCATCCTGGCGCGGGGAAGGGAAGGGCGTGGAGATACGCGGAGGGGCGGTGAAGTGAAAGTCATGAGGTGAAGTGAAAGGCATGAGGTGTGTTTATGTTGAAGGGAAAGTCATGAGGTGTGTTTATGTTGAAGGGAAAGTCATGAGGTGTGTTTATCATGGGCTTGAAGTGAAAGTCATGAGGTGTGTTTATCTTGAAGTCATGAATCTTGAAGTGAAAGTCATGAGGTGTGTTTATGTTGAAGTGAAATCTTGAAGTGAAAGTCAAGGTGTGGAAGTGAAAGTGAGTTGTGTTTATCTTGAAGTGAAAGTCATGAGGTGTGTTTATCTTGAAGTGAAAGTCATGAATCTTGAAGTGAAAGTCATGAGGTGTGTTTATGTTGAAGTGTCATTTTTATCTTGAAAGTCATGAGGTGTGCTTGAAGTCATGAGGTGTGTTTATCTTGAAGTGAAAGTCATGAGGTGTTATTATCTTGAAGTGAAAGTCATGAGGTGTTATTATCTTGAAGTGAAGGGAAGGGCGTTTCGTGCTGGTGTTTCTATCATGGACGCTGAGTTGCATCTAGTTACACTGTGCTGTGAAACTGAGAATTGTTTGTGCCTGCTCGCTCATCACGGTTGCATACGTTACTGTGTGCTTGTGTTTTGTAAGTATTGTATTATGTTTTGCCATCAAGTACAGTTTAATGGCATAATCATTAACTTTTTCATTCTTTTCATTAACTTCAAAAGTACCCTTCTATTGGGCCTTGAGATAATAAACATAGTGAGCCTTGTTATAGTATTCATTTTTAATTAATGATTTTGAAAACCTGAATTCCCCCAATATCGATATAAAGTTATCAAAAATGATCACTTTGTTAAACTCAAACAAACGCACCTAAAGTATTTATGTTTTATGACGTCTTTTTATAACATGCATGAGAGAGTATGTCTATACCTGTCGATAAGAGTCTATACAGTCTAAATAGTCTAAACTGAAGATCTTTTTAAGACAAAAACACGATTACTCCATCTTTGAATCATCCTGATAGCGAATTTTTTTTCATGAACGGAATCGACGGAGCCTCCCGCCACATTTCACTTAATTTCGAAAGCAGTGTTTCCAAATCATTCCCCAAACGGATTCCACGGCTACACTTTAACAAATAAAACGCTAAATCAACCAGAATTATATATAAGAAAGTCATAATAATAAAAAAAAAATTCTCCCGACGTCCCATACCCTGCTGAGTGATGGCGGCCCACATGACCATGGAGGCGTCCGACTTCCAGTCTCGAAAACGCTGCAGTCGATTCGAGGGCGACTTCAGCCTCCCCTCCCGCCAGCAGTACCACGTTGCCATCGCCCAGAACAGGATCCCCAGCAGCACCAGCGCCAGGAGGAGGCAGACCCACAGCCCCAGCGAGAAGGGCCGAGTGTAAGAGGTCCAGGACACGGAAGCTCTCTCCGGAGGGCGGGCGAAGATGCGGTAGCTGGGGATGACACACCAGGCATGCGAACCAACAGTTCTTAGTGACGAAAACACACCAAACGCAGACATATCTCGATAGGTGTGGAAAAAAGAAAAAGAAAACAAAGGGGGGAAGAAGAAAATGAAGCAGAAAACACCGCATGCGTATCGTCCATGAACACGAAGACCCTTTTGAGGACAGAGACGTCATATGTAAACAAAACCGTTTTTTTTTTTTTTTTTTTTTTTTTTTTTTTTACAGTACTCACTCCAATCACAGCTACATTTACGTGCATGAGTAGTATGTGCATACGTATCTTTCACTAAAACTCAATATGGACAAGGAGACAATATGCACTTCTTTATTTATTTAGTTTATTTATTATCATAACCACTATTATCATTATCATTGCTAGTACTGTCAATGTTATCATCATCATTATCCTTATTACTTCTATTCTCAAGATCATTACAATTATCAGTTTTATTTTGAACATCATTATTACTGATATCATTGACATTACTAATATCATTATCATTATTTTCATCATTACTAATACTGTTACTATCGTTATTATTATCAATAATACCAATACTACTACTATTACTACTACTACTACTACTACTAAAGATAATAATGATAATAACCATTCAACACTCGAGGACCACACTCACCTAAACTTGACGAGCACCGAGGAATAGTCGACGGCTTGGGTGCGCGAGTAAGTCCTCGAGAGATACGCTACGATCACGTCCGCCTTTCCCCTGTGCAGGTCGCCGATGAGACCCGTCCAGGTGCCGTTCGACTCGGCCCCGAACTCCCCGTCGTCGGGAGTCCTGACGGAGTAGCTGAAGGAGTAGGGGTGTGGGGGAGTTTTAGGTGGTGGTGGTGGTGGTAATAATAATAATAATAATGATGAATGAATGATGATTTTAATAATAATAATGATAAGATCAATAATAACAAGGATAATTATAATAGAAAAACACACACACACAAAACACAAACACACATACACACACACACACACACACACACAAACAC